AACGGCAACAACACGCGGCGTCGCATCAAGGTGCTCAAGTACCCGAACACCTACCTGCCGGCCGACAAGTTCGATGCTACGAACGCCTCACACAGGCCTCTGGTGATCGGCCTCAAGGAACGGATGAAAGCACCGGCAGTCATCGAGCAGCTGATGTCTCTACTTGCGCGCGGCTCTGTTGACTACTACCGAGAGGGTCTGGGAGAGGATCCTCCGGAGGTCGTGGAGGCTACCGGAGCATACTTCGACGATTGCGACAAGCTGCAGCAGTTCTTGGACAAGCACTGCGAGATCGGGGCTGGCTTCGAGACTCTGGAGGGCGACTTCTACCTGGATTATCGCGCCTTCTCCAATGAGCCGATCACGAAGGAGGCGCTCATGAATCGGATGAAGAGCAAGGGCTATCGGAGGAGTGCCAAGCCCCTGAACGTGTGGAACAAACGCGAGCTCTACTATCCGCACATCAAGAGCATCTTCGTCCGCACTTGAAGGGGCATCTCATAGATTAGCGGTCACCTTAAGTAGATGTACAGTACCATGTAAAATCATTGTACATTATTGTAATAGCTTTATAATCCGGCATTTGCATGTTCATAGCCCGCCAATGGTCATTGAAATAGATTTGCACAACGTTCTGAACATCTTGAATATTGTCTTACATGTTCCCACAGCGACCCACATGCCGAAACCCTCTAGTGCTTTCTACTACTACAGCGGTGTCTCTGTGGACTGTCTTGTCCGCAATGATTGGCATAGATTTCGGAGCCGAACCTTCGTCAAAAAGCCACTCATGAGCTCGTAGACATATTTTCTTGGTTGTCACACAAGTCAGTTCATGATGCTACCAAGACCAACAGATGATGACCTGTATCGCAGAGAAGTTAATGCGTTGAAGCCGTATTTTCAGCTTTACAAAAACTGGGGGTACCGAGACGGTCCACATGGTCATCACACAAAATTTGAGCTGGAGAGTTTAGAGAGCCGCTGGATCCAAAACTTCACGGACCCTCTGTTCCGGAATCTGCAACAGCTTGACGTCCAGAGCGCCACTCGCATGCTGCGTTCAGGTTTCAAAGCAAAAATCGAAGATGCTTCTAAGACGATCGACCAGATTGAAACGCAAGGTGACCCTGGTCAATTAACTGAGGGCATCAGACTTCTTATGCGCTTCATGGAGGCAAACGGAGAGCTTATGGAGAGGCTCGCAAACGAGGACCTATTTAAGCATTCGAACGAAATTAGCACGATGTTCGTCTGTTTTGTAGCTGCTGCCAGAGCAATCGTGCTCCTTAGTAGATCCTCTGCTGGACAAGCGCAACAAATCATGTTGGAATGTTTCCACGTATGCTTCTCAGATGAAGACGCAGCGGGATCATCTAGTTCCCAAACTTGGCCATCCCAGGTTTTTTATCGGAACAAGCTTCGGCACGCTTATACAGGCCCCCGGGGCGGCCGCTACGTGAAAGTCAGGGGGGAAAAGGTGTACATCCCCATGGATTAAGTCGTTGTTGGCACTCTACCACTGCGACGAAGGGGCAGGTTCGACGATCGAGCTGCGAGGATTCGAGCTCCTTTGGGTTACCACACATGCACTTGCGCCGCTCAGAAGGAGACACAAGCGAGAGTGTCACGCGAGATGGGCAGATTGGGGGCGGACCTAGACACCCACAGATACACGCGGCGCGACCAAACCCCAAAGGTTTTTTCTAGGGGCAGTACTTTGCAAACCAATTCTGAAAAAAGGTTTGGATCTTCTGTGTAACGCGTGGGTGTCTAAGTACAGCCTTTTGCATCTTCCCTCCCGACCCCCCCTCGAGCCGATTCGAAAATGGCGGCACGGCCTTCGGAGCGGATCGATATGCGGTCGAAGCGCTCGAGGATGGCGAGGTTGGCTCTCAGTCGAGAAACTCCGTAAGCGAAGTCCGCCCTCTGACGCCTCGCCTGTGCGCAACCGAGCGCAAAGGAAGCCGAAAATCGTGCCCATCTTGTTGCGAGGATTATCGAGGGGATCCCTCAGAGAGATTGGATACACGTACGCTATGATGTAGTAGCGGCACTCTCCCCCCTGCCTCCTCGCTCTTTCGAGATCAAGGAGCAAGAGGGCCTGGACTATTCCGTTAGCAACTTAGGAAGATGATGCATGTACAGATGAGTCAAGGATGGGGGGGCAGCTCAACGAGCGCGCAGATGGAGCGCCCGAATGGGAGCTGCGAGCTGACGGGAGAAATTTTGCGTGCTTGCTAGTGCATCCCCCGGATGCGACGAGCTGCGAGAACGAATATGCTTCGAAGCAAGGGCTTGAGATGCATCGCAGGCGGATGGGCGTGCAAGAGCCCAGCCTGCCCAGCCGACGGACCGTCTCGAGAGTTTTTGGGCTCGACGAGCAAGGAGCAAAGTCGCTAAAGGCGAGTCGCAACGAATCGTACGTCGCAACTTATCGCCGCACTGCAAAGGGGAGGCTGGCAACATTTCGAGCGAGACATTCGAAGGAGCTGCGGCTGCGTGCAATGGAAGCTCTGCCGTATCCAGAGCCACTCCCGCCGCCCGCCTATCTGCCTCCCCCCATCTCCTGGCTCCTGAGCAAGAGGCCGATTCCTGCTGACGGC